GAGTGGTTTGCAGGCACAGGCACGTCTGCTGCAAGTACAGCGCTGTCAGGAGACAGGGGTTGCTGGCCCATTCCCCATGCTCGGTGGCTGGGCATCACCGCCCTGGAGTACGGCCGATAGAAAACGGCGGCTGCCATTTGCGCCGCCCGGCAACTCATACTTACCTGGCAGGGGAGATACCATGATCAAGAAGGTGGTTCCCCCAGGGCGAGGCTTGGCCATTGCACTCCGGCCACGCTGACCCCTGCGAATTCCCCAAATGTGGGAATCTCGACTGCATAATTTCTGGTAGTGGGGGACTGCGTTCGCGCTCTCCCCTGAGCACAGTGGTTCAAGACAGAGTTCAGGCGGTAGCGTCGGACCCGGCTGGAGCCAAGTGGTGCTCGCTGCAGAGCCATTTGAGGAGAGCTGAGCTCCAGCGAGGGGGAGCTTAAGCTTGAGCTCCACCTTTTTTGCACTTCTTCTACGAGTGATGTCACTGGGGGTAGGGTTAGGGGCGGGGTTGGTGTACGCATTAAAACAGCTTACAGGAGGAGGAGCGACAGCTCATGCTCCCCCTCGCTGGAGCTCAGCTCTCCTCAAATGGCTCTGCAGCGAGCACCCTCTCGCTGGAGCGGCGCTTCCCTCTCTTCCTCGTCCTTTGCCAAGCCTCTTTTGCTCCAGTAGAGCCGCGCGCGCCTGTGGAAGGCCTGCCCACCCGTCGCTAGAAGAGCCCGTTCTGACGCCGAAAACTACTCGAAAGGTCCCCCCTCAAAGCGGTTTGACCAGGTGAAGGAACACGCAAAGAGAGCCCCCGGTGGCTTTTGTCCGCCAAGCGAGTGTGCCCTGTGGAATGTCAGAATTTTATTTTTACCGGCCTGCCGCTGTTACTGACGGAACGAATGCAGACCGTGTGAAAGGTCATCATTTTATCTGCCATTAAGTAAGCGAACGCTTCGGCTCGGATCAGAGGTAACTTTGTTTCAAGAACTGCAATCTTTTGCAGACGTCTGTGGCGTTTTGGGCAGAGGGACGGTTCTAAACCAATCTGAACCAGAGGCAATTTCGCAGCCAGCCGTCGGTGGTTTCCCGTCCCAGGAATGTAAGGTGCTTGCAGCGGGAGGTTGTTTCGTTAGCGCTTCCGCTTCCGTCAGTGAAGTTCTTTTGCGGAACGTTTGTAGATCCCGTCGTCTTCTTCAAGCTATGTCGTTTGAGCACTGTGCTGATAGGCTGACCTAAGAAAACAGGACACAAAACATACAAGGCAAGAGTGCAAAGCACGGAGCTCTAGGCAAAGGCGGTCCGAACCGCAGCAAAGCAGGAGGTCGACATGTCCAAATAGACCAAATCAGAAACTAAGCAGAGAAAAACGGCATCTGTAGAGAAAGAAAACAGATGGAGGAAAAGAAAGAAAGAACAGGAGGATCCCCTCCCCCCATAGAGGGTCTGTTATCCCCAGATCGAGTGCGTCCGGTGGAATCCATGTGTTGGCAGCCCCAACTGATGACAAAACACAGAGCAAGCATCTGGAGGAAGCTCAAACTCTTCATGCGTTGCCACAGTTACTAGCGAGTGGTTTGCAGGCACAGGCACGTCTGCTGCAAGTACAGCGCCGTCAGGAGACAGGGGTTGCTGGCCCATTCCCCATGCTCGGTGGCTGGGCATCACCGCCCTGGAGTACGGCCGATAGAAAACGGCGGCTGCCATTTGCGCCGCCCGGCAACTCATACTTACCTGGCAGGGGAGATACCATGATCAAGAAGGTGGTTCACCCAGGGCGAGGCTTGGCCATTGCACTCCGGCCACGCTGACCCCTGCGAATTCCCCAAATGTGGGAATCTCGACTGCATAATTTCTGGTAGTGGGGGACTGCGTTCGCGCTCTCCCCTGAGCACAGTGGTTCAAGACAGAGTTCAGGCGGTAGCGTCGGACCCGGCTGGAGCCAAGTGGTGCTCGCTGCAGAGCCATTTGAGGAGAGCTGAGCTCCAGCGAGGGGGAGCTTAAGCTTGAGCTCCACCTTTTTTGCACTTCTTCTACGAGTGATGTCACTGGGGGTAGGGTTAGGGGCGGGGTTGGTGTACGCATTAAAACAGCTTACAGGAGGAGGAGCGACAGCTCATGCTCCCCCTCGCTGGAGCTCAGCTCTCCTCAAATGGCTCTGCAGCGAGCACCCTCTCGCTGGAGCGGCGCTTCCCTCTCTTCCTCGTCCTTTGCCAAGCCTCTTTTGCTCCAGTAGAGCCGCGCGCGCCTGTGGAAGGCCTGCCCACCCGTCGCTAGAAGAGCCCGTTCTGACGCCGAAAACTACTCGAAAGGTCCCCCCTCAAAGCGGTTTGACCAGGTGAAGGAACACGCAAAGAGAGCCCCCGGTGGCTTTTGTCCGCCAAGCGAGTGTGCCCTGTGGAATGTCAGAATTTTATTTTTACCGGCCTGCCGCTGTTACTGACGGAACGAATGCAGACCGTGTGAAAGGTCATCATTTTATCTGCCATTAAGTAAGCGAACGCTTCGGCTCGGATCAGAGGTAACTTTGTTTCAAGAACTGCAATCTTTTGCAGACGTCTGTGGCGTTTTGGGCAGAGGGACGGTTCTAAACCAATCTGAACCAGAGGCAATTTCGCAGCTAGCCGTCGGTGGTTTCCCGTCCCAGGAATGTAAGGTGCTTGCAGCGGGAGGTTGTTTCGTTAGCGCTTCCGCTTCCGTCAGTGAAGTTCTTTTGCGGAACGTTTGTAGATCCCGTCGTCTTCTTCAAGCTATGTCGTTTGAGCACTGTGCTGATAGGCTGACCTAAGAAAACAGGACACAAAACATACAAGGCAAGAGTGCAAAGCACGGAGCTCTAGGCAAAGGCGGTCCGAACCGCAGCAAAGCAGGAGGTCGACATGTCCAAATAGACCAAATCAGAAACTAAGCAGAGAAAAACGGCATCTGTAGAGAAAGAAAACAGATGGAGGAAAAGAAAGAAAGAACAGGAGGATCCCCTCCCCCCATAGAGGGTCTGTTATCCCCAGATCGAGTGCGTCCGGTGGAATCCATGTGTTGGCAGCCCCAACTGATGACAAAACACAGAGCAAGCATCTGGAGGAAGCTCAAACTCTTCATGCGTTGCCACAGTTACTAGCGAGTGGTTTGCAGGCACAGGCACGTCTGCTGCAAGTACAGCGCCGTCAGGAGACAGGGGTTGCTGGCCCATTCCCCATGCTCGGTGGCTGGGCATCACCGCCCTGGAGTACGGCCGATAGAAAACGGCGGCTGCCATTTGCGCCGCCCGGCAACTCATACTTACCTGGCAGGGGAGATACCATGATCAAGAAGGTGGTTCACCCAGGGCGAGGCTTGGCCATTGCACTCCGGCCACGCTGACCCCTGCGAATTCCCCAAATGTGGGAATCTCGACTGCATAATTTCTGGTAGTGGGGGACTGCGTTCGCGCTCTCCCCTGAGCACAGTGGTTCAAGACAGAGTTCAGGCGGTAGCGTCGGACCCGGCTGGAGCCAAGTGGTGCTCGCTGCAGAGCCATTTGAGGAGAGCTGAGCTCCAGCGAGGGGGAGCTTAAGCTTGAGCTCCACCTTTTTTGCACTTCTTCTACGAGTGATGTCACTGGGGGTAGGGTTAGGGGCGGGGTTGGTGTACGCATTAAAACAGCTTACAGGAGGAGGAGCGACAGCTCATGCTCCCCCTCGCTGGAGCTCAGCTCTCCTCAAATGGCTCTGCAGCGAGCACCCTCTCGCTGGAGCGGCGCTTCCCTCTCTTCCTCGTCCTTTGCCAAGCCTCTTTTGCTCCAGTAGAGCCGCGCGCGCCTGTGGAAGGCCTGCCCACCCGTCGCTAGAAGAGCCCGTTCTGACGCCGAAAACTACTCGAAAGGTCCCCCCTCAAAGCGGTTTGACCAGGTGAAGGAACACGCAAAGAGAGCCCCCGGTGGCTTTTGTCCGCCAAGCGAGTGTGCCCTGTGGAATGTCAGAATTTTATTTTTACCGGCCTGCCGCTGTTACTGACGGAACGAATGCAGACCGTGTGAAAGGTCATCATTTTATCTGCCATTAAGTAAGCGAACGCTTCGGCTCGGATCAGAGGTAACTTTGTTTCAAGAACTGCAATCTTTTGCAGACGTCTGTGGCGTTTTGGGCAGAGGGACGGTTCTAAACCAATCTGAACCAGAGGCAATTTCGCAGCCAGCCGTCGGTGGTTTCCCGTCCCAGGAATGTAAGGTGCTTGCAGCGGGAGGTTGTTTCGTTAGCGCTTCCGCTTCCGTCAGTGAAGTTCTTTTGCGGAACGTTTGTAGATCCCGTCGTCTTCTTCAAGCTATGTCGTTTGAGCACTGTGCTGATAGGCTGACCTAAGAAAACAGGACACAAAACATACAAGGCAAGAGTGCAAAGCACGGAGCTCTAGGCAAAGGCGGTCCGAACCGCAGCAAAGCAGGAGGTCGACATGTCCAAATAGACCAAATCAGAAACTAAGCAGAGAAAAACGGCATCTGTAGAGAAAGAAAACAGATGGAGGAAAAGAAAGAAAGAACAGGAGGATCCCCTCCCCTCCCCCCATAGAGGGTCTGTTATCCCCAGATCGAGTGCGTCCGGTGGAATCCATGTGTTGGCAGCCCCAACTGATGACAAAACACAGAGCAAGCATCTGGAGGAAGCTCAAACTCTTCATGCGTTGCCACAGTTACTAGCGAGTGGTTTGCAGGCACAGGCACGTCTGCTGCAAGTACAGCGCCGTCAGGAGACAGGGGTTGCTGGCCCATTCCCCATGCTCGGTGGCTGGGCATCACCGCCCTGGAGTACGGCCGATAGAAAACGGCGGCTGCCATTTGCAAGTACACCCATCTGCAGCCCGCAGATTGGGGCGGGGCTGCATATGGGGCGGGGCTGCACATGCAGTCCCGCCCACCAGTAATTTTATTGGTTAGTGGAGATTGGGGCGGGGCTGCACATGCACTCCCGCCCACCTGTAATTTCATTGGTTACTAGAGACGTAATAACGTCGATGCCACTACGTCGTGTCAGTAAACAGGAAATGCATTTACAACTTCTCGAAAATTGTTTTATTGTTAATAAAATACACAAAAGCGGTTATTCCTGCTAAATGTCTCAATGTTAATTAAAAATATTATCAAATCATGAATTTTATAGATAAAGAAAACAGTTAGGTGAATTTCATTAGTATTTTTCCTGCAAAAATATTCCTTCTTAAAAAGGATTCCTGAAAGATTACATTTACAGAAATTAACTAGTTTTACTTTTGCAGAAGTACTGGTGATAATAGTTTTTTGGCCACATTTAATTTTTCTACAAATACCACGATTGAACTATGATTAGTGCTGCTTAATATATATGTGTGTGTGTGTGTGTGTGTGTGTGTGTGTGTGTGTGTGTGTGTGTGTGTGTGTGTGTGTGTACAGATGTACAGCAGTAAGACTGACAAGTTACCAAGAAAATAATAATAATTTAAGATACAGCAGTTTTTTGATTGTCTTTAATAAACAAAAACAGTTAAATATTGTCATAGGGGAATTCCCCTCCAGCATTAAAGTGGCACTCTGCTGAGCAGTATCCTGGGAAGTCGATGGTGGAGTAGAATCCTCGCAGGACTCCCTTCCTGCCATCCCCAACATACCCAGGTGGGCAGTCTTTAAAAATGTCCCCACATTCAGGGCATTCAGTCAAGGAATATGGCACTCTGAACTCTTTTTTGTAGTCCTCAGAAAACCTACTCCAGTTGATGACACCTGAATAAAAATCAAGTACATTTAGCAAGACACAAACATAATTCAAAGTTTTACTAATAATACAGTACTGTTAAAAGTGTTTGGCATACTCTATATTCTTTATCATGTGTACACACAGACAGACAGACGGACAGAGATGAATAGAAACAAATATGGAATATGCCAAGCACTTTCCTTAGTCACTATTTATAAAGATTTGTTTATAAATAACTTACTGTCCAGCCAGATGTAGTGAGCCTGCTCCCTGAATTTAGCATTGCTAACTATTTCTTTGAAGATCCTGCACGTCAAGGAGAGGCGCAGGAAAGCCACATCACCATCCTCTGTGATGACCTTCAAAAGGATTTGCCGCAGGATCTCAGGAGGCATCTGTACAAAAATAGCCGACAATATCGCCAAATTGCCGCTTAACATATGTATATTAAAATAAAACTCAGAGTTAAAGATGTTTCTACAAGGCATACCGTGGTCAGATAATCGTCAGCTGGGACGGGGTCGATTGCCTCTAAATGAACAATAATAAAAAAAATTTAGAAACATATTTCTGCTGATTGTACCATTAAAAATACCAGTGTAAACCATACCTGCTCTCTGCGTTCTCATTCTTTTTCTGAGGCTTTTTCTTTCAGCATCTGACCTAAAAATGTTTAAAAAAAAAAAAAACTAAGATTAATGTAAAAATGTTATGCATTTTTTATTCAAAATTTTTTTAAGTTTTATGTAAAATTGCTAGGCTAAAGGTTCACTGATAAACTGAAAACATTTTACATTCAAGAGACCTAACTTACTTCAAGGGGTAGTTTGTCAGCAAAACTATGCACCACCAGTGTCTTAGCACGTGCATGTCAGACTGGAAAATAAAGAACAGATAAACTAATGCCAAGTAATATTAACAACAAAAAAACCCTAGAAAACAAACTTTACCTCATCAAAATCAAAATGCCCCTCCATCACAATGTATAGAGCATACTACAACATAAATAAACAGCACATTAGAGCAGATGTACAGTTGCATACTAAAATAGCATATTTGTTTTGTAATTATTCCAAGCAACAAAACAGCATATGCAAACATTAAATAAGTTTTTAAATAAACTTTTTTTTTTATTACTTACCATCAACACAAACACTCCACAGTTATTTGAGCAGTGTTGTTTGGGAATGCCCTGGTAATACAAAAAAAAACAAAAAGAACCCCACCATTAACAACAACAATTAGTAAAAAAAAAAAAAAAAAGACAAAATAAAGTGAAAACAAAACATTAACAGTAGTTAAGGAACAATGTTTATGGGTGAATCTTACTGGAATTTCATCAGCACTGTACTCATCCCATGTGTCTGAACATACATGCTGTGCTAGTTTTCTGTAGAGAACAATATTAAAAGAAACAAACATACAAAACATTAAACATTTAAATTGAAAGCTCTTACATCACAGGGCCTACAGTCCGTCAGACATTCAGATGGGACTGATTAAAAGAACATCAATGAACATATAAAGATAGATAAATCTGAACAAAGAGGAAAAAAGTGAACAAAAATAAACAAAAACGGGGATATGTGGTTTAAAACAGAACTACCATTATCCCGAACTCTGAACTTTTCACTCATAAACCTGTAACTGCTCAAGTAGCGTGTATCACTGAAGCCTCGTCCAGAGAGGGAATCAAGCCAATAGATCTCCCTTTTTTTTGGCTTCATGATCTATGACAGTGCAACTTTAACATTACATTTCATGAACTGAATCCTTACTTTTCAGGTTTTATATCTAAAATAAGTGGAAGAGTTTTATATTTTCTATTTATTTACTTGACATTATGTATTATATTGACACATACACAGATCATCCAGTGATTGCTCGTCCAAGAAGGTAGTAAAATGATGTCATGACTTGCCAGGTTTTCCTTAAACAAAATCATAAGAATTTTTTAAGAAATGTAGTATTTACAACACAAACACTAAATGACTTATTCTACACTGCCTCAGTAACAAATCACACAATAACACTCACAGGAACATTAGACAGTGGGTCACCACACATTGGAGGCAACCAAGTCACTGTCACATATGGACTGAACACATGGACTGTTATACCCTGTTAAGTGAAAATAAATTAAAATACAATTAAATAAGCAGATACAATCCTTTACATTAAATAAAGAGCTTTTTGGTCTAGGTCATTTTTTGCATTACCTGAAGGCCAGCAACATCCTTTATTACAGAAAGGCAAGCATTCAAAATCTGTAATCATTCAAGGATAAATTTATTCTACTACTTGTGTTAAGGTATTAATATACCAAAATGTGTTTGCAGAATCTTACTGTCGCCTCTACATCTTGAAGTAGTCCCAATGTTTGGAAATCCAACCTTGTGAGGACTGTGCCTCCAACAGATGCTAGGAATTCATCTTTTGGCCCTCTCTCCAGTAAGGCATGGTTTAACTATGAAAAGAACATACTATAATATACTGCAATACAATATCTTTCTCACTGTTCATCTTTATGCATTTTAGTTAAAGTATTTTTAATGATCGTCTAATGAATAAACATGTTTCATGATATATAAATCTAACCTTCTCCAGCTGGACTGGACTGGGTGGCTGTGTCCAGCATGCCTTGTTTGGCTGCACACATTCCAGAGTGAAAATACTCCCAATGGAAGTTTGAACAGGCACTACAAAATATATAAAATTTAAATAATTAGCAACAACACCCCATTTAAAATGACAACCAATATGAAAGAAAAAATATAAACAATTTAAATTCTTACAGTTGTTGTGTTGGTTCACTAAGGATCTCTTATCAGTCTTAACCGAGGGTGGAGGTGTGCCTTTAGATTGAAAAACAGTTGATGCATTATGTATAAAAGGTAATACTCTTACAACAACAAGTGGAAGAAGGAGGGCAACAAAGGAGAAAGAACGAGAAGGAAGAATAAGGAGAAAAACAGAGAAACAACCATTTTTTACCAAAATCCTTTGGTGCCTGTTTGAACACTGGCTCATGATCAGGTACAATCTCCAAGTCAGAAAACACGTGCTTGTCCGTGAATCTGTGGGCTAAGACAAACAAAAATAATAAGAAAAAAAAGGTTAAATGCTGTGAACTATGTGGCCCTATGAGGTAGTCATTAAAACTTTAATCAAATATTTACACAAGTATGAAGAATATTTAAAAAAAATATGACCTTACCAATAAAATTAGATTCCAAAGTACGGTTGCCATGGAACAATTTATTAAAATGTTCCATTTTCTTTTGGTTATGTGCAAGATTCCGGTGGTGGAGAATATTTCGTGCCAGAAAAATATGTGCTGCTGGTCTTAACATATTCATAAAGTAGTTGTTTTTCTTTACTTCTGAAAAAAGCTGCTCTGCACGCTGGCTATTAACTTTTCCAGCCAGCTCTGGCACAAGACCAATAGTGCGGAGCACATCTCTTTCGTCCCTACTATTGCTTTGATGGAAAACGTCACACAAACAGTAGTGCTCGGAGGAACCGGTCACAGGGTGGCAGTCAGGATCTGCAGGTTTTTTTTTGTGTGCCAGCCAAGGAAGATGAACTTTTAGTTTTCCTTCTTTTGCTTGTTTAATGTTTTCAGTGGTGGGGTCTTGCACTCTGCCCTCAAATGGGTGGAAAGGTGGACATTCTTGTTGCCTTTTATTTGTGTGTGCAACTAAGCCTCGAGGGTAATCATAGATTGTGACATTAGGAAAATTTTTCCATGACAACAGAAGGTCTGTGAAATCACGTGGACTCTCAGCTCTGAGGTTAAATTTGATTGAGTAAACAATCCCACATGGACACATGATTACACCCACACCACCTATAAACACAGAAAATAAAAAATTAACTAAATTATTGAAACACTAAATAAAACATTTCAACAATAATATAGTACATTTTAACGTGGATCAAAAACCTTTCATAAATTATCCTAAAACTATTGAGCAGCAACCTTTCATATATTAGGATAATTTAAAAAACTTTGATCCACTTCAAATGTTTAACATATACTGTACACATGTGGGCATATATACATATACAGTACACATACATGCACTTACATACGTCGTAACTCACCTGAAGCACCCCAAATCTTTTCAAACACCTTGTTGTATGTCACTCTATTCGACATTTTATCACGAAGTCTGAGGACGAGATCCATTTTCGAACCAACATTATCAACCCCACACTGTCGACACAGCTTTTTCAAATCTGCAATCTAATCATAAGCAAATTTGAGAGTAAGTTCAGCAAAAAATAAATGAATTAAAAAGTACTTTAAAATAGTAGAGTGACATTTTTACTAATTAATTTGCAGCCTACTAATATTGGCTTTATTTGGAAAAACTAAAACACTTCCATAACAATTTAAACAAAAATCTACCTTGAGGTGGAGAAGCTCATCTCCAAGTCTTTCCTCAGTAAGGGGCACATCCATGTCAATCCCTCCATCTAGAGAATGCACTTTTGCATTCTCGGTGTTTAAAACCATGGTTGATCCCCTTGTTTTTGGACCTATCCACGGGGACCAGTAGTGGTAACTCGGTGAAATTTTAAATGGGTTTTCTTTGCCACCTTGAGAAAAAAAAAACTATTTAATGCATCAACACTAAACATACAGCTAAAATTAAAAAGCTGATATCTTAGTGGGCAGTTCTTCTATTATATGAATTTAAGACCACTACATTGCACTACACTAAAAAATAAAATAACTACAATTTCAGTTTTTGGTTTAGTTTTTTTAGTTTAAATACTGCTAATTCCTACACTATAATAAATCTGTTAGAAAAGAAAAATGACAGAAAACTATAGTGTGTGGGCGTTTAGAAAACACTGCAAAAGGACATATCATGATACCAATCTTCATTCTATCATGCAGCAATATTTGCATACCAAAACAAATCAAAACTTACTTGGATAAAACCCTCTGCTTATCACATCCATTGCCACTGCATTCCAAAATTGCTCTATGTCAACATGACCATCATAATCCAGAGGTGGAGATGGAATTTCACTCACTGTAAAGGAACAAATCAAAATATGTGAATTATGAATTAAAAAAAGCAACAAAACAACTCCAACTGAAACCAGCGTTTACCTGGGATGCTAAACACTCCTTTTTTATGAAGGTCCATAATCACAGTACTTGGACTGTATCCACAGGACACACAGGAGTACATGTAGTCCAAATCACACAAAGCTTCAAAGTGCAGATACGCCTGCATGATTAGGTCACCTTTAGGCAAGGACTCTCCCTCTGTGGCTTCAATTATTCGCACAACCCTACCAACAGCTGTGTGATTCTGAAAAGAAGAAGCATATATATGCAAGCATGCATGGTTAAATAAATATATAATAAAAGCCCTCATCAACATTTCTATTATTAGAATTTTTGTTAAAGAACAAGTTATAGTGAAAAAGCAGGCATTATTGCTGATATTGTACCTGTAGAGAATTTCTCAAAACCAAACATAAGTGTAGGGTGAGGATTACATGATCATTGAAGTTGTGCAAACCATCTTGCCATTCTTGGTATCTGTATATGTGATTGCATTTATGGCACAACTTGTAGTAGGTTGACACACCTGAAAAAAAAAAAGGATTTGAACAGATTTATATACATTTGTAAACTGATAAAGAAAAATTCTAAATAAATGCAAGTCACATTACAGTATCTATTGAAACAATAAAACTGCCATACCCTGAATCAGTCCATTGAATGAGACTATCTTTGCCCGACAAGTTATCAAAACAGGGTCACTCAAAACTCCCTTGCATAGTCTGCATTCAACCTCCTCAGGCACAAGATGTTTTGGAAAAGCATGCTTTGATTTTTGCAGGATGTCTTGTTGGAGTTTCACTGGAATTTTCTTATGTTCAAGCATGTCTTCCATCATTTTTTTGACTGTAGCAGAGTTAGGGGGATATGAATCATGACAGCAGGCATCATCATCTTCATGAACAGTGTTGGAAACTTCTGAGCACTTAAGTCTTTTGAAGAGCTGTGGTATTGTCTGGAAAAGATGCCACTTTGCTGTGGCTTTGTGAATACAGGATTGACGAGGCTTGGCACAAGGACAATGCCAGTTATTTTTCTTTTTATCATAAGTCACCATGACCCTTCCCATTCTACTGTAATAGGACACTGTTGGTTCAAACACAGAAATGAAACATTTTGTTGATGAACTTCCAACTGTGACATGGAAAGACAAAGGTGTCTCCGCAACATTTGCTTCCCGCTGCAACTTTAACAGTTGGATTTTCCTTGCTTCACCAAACCACTTTTCCTGCACCAGCTGAGAGAGACTGTTTTCTGTCAGTGCAAAATTGGATTCTTCAATTTGTTTACAAAAACACAATGACTGTACATGGCAGCACTCAAATGGTAAGATCCCAGTTATGTGTGCGTATTCAGCATTTGAAATGCACTGGTCAAGTTCACATGCTGAACGAAAGTTTGGGCCCCATGTATTTTTTATTACATGTATGGGTATTGCTTGACCATGAAATGCCTTTTCAACAGCAAAAATGCCAATTTTTCCATCGATGCACTGAGATCTCAAGTGCTTCTCAGGAGTCATTGCATTTACTCTGTCAGTATGTTGTCTTTGAATGTGAGTTCGTAGATTTTTGGCCAGAAGTGTTACATTACATTGGCTGCAAGTGGCAGTCTTCTTTGCTGACAATTTTGGGAGTGACTGCAAAGGGTGGACAGAAGGTGACTGAGCCTGTTTCTGCTTGACAGATGTCATCTGGGGCTGTGTCTGCTGGGCAGATGACTGACACTGTGCCTGCCTGACGGATGTCACCTGGGGCTGTGTCTGCTGGGCAGATGACGGAGGCTGTGCCTGCCTGACGGATGTCATCTGGGGCTGTGTCTGCTGGGCAGATGACTGAGGCTGTGCCTGCCTGACGGATGTCATCTGGGGCTGTGTCTGCTGGGCAGATGACGGAGGCTGTGCCTGCCTGACGGATGTCATCTGGGGCTGTGTCTGCTGGGCAGATGACTGAGGCTGTGCCTGCCTGACGGATGTCATCTGGGGCTGTGTCTGCTGGGCAGATGACTGAGGCTGTGCCTGCCTGACGGATGTCATCTGGGGCTGTGTCTGCTGGGCAGATGACGGAGGCTGTGCCTGCCTGACGGATGTCATCTGGGGCTGTGTCTGCTGGGCAGATGACTGAGGCTGTGCCTGCCTGACGGATGTCATCTGGGGCTGTGTCTGCTGGGCAGATGACTGACACTGTGCCTGCCTGACGGATGTCATCTGGGGCTGTGTCTGCTGGGCAGATGACTGACACTGTGCCTGCCTGACGGATGTCATCTGGGGCTGTGTCTGCTGGGCAGATGACTGAGGCTGTGCCTGCCTGACGGATGTCATCTGGGGCTGTGTCTGCTGGGCAGATGACTGAGGCTGTGCCTGCCTGACGGATGTCATCTGGGGCTGTGTCTGCTGGGCAGATGACTGAGGCTGTGCCTGCATGGCAGAGGTCACCTGTGGCTGTGTCTGCTGGGTAGACGATGACTGAGGTTGTGAATCCTGGACAGATGATGACCCAGGCTTGGTCTGCAGCACAGCTGATGTCTGAGGATGGGTTGAAAAGGCATGCTGTCTGGCAATGTGGTTTAGTATATTTTCCCGAGTTAACACAATCACTGAACAATAGCAGCAGTGAAAGTGGGATTTTTTTCTACATTTTAAACCACATTTTACAATGGTAAAATCTGAAATAGAAAAAAAAACAAACATATTTTTTAAATTGCATACAATAAACCTTACTTGCGTCTCACTCTGGCCTTTGGACAGTTGAATGACAAGCACATTTTTTATTATTTGAGCAACAAAGACCCAAGATTTATGAAGCATGATGGTTCACGTTACGTAGAAAATAAAGTTTGCCTGAGCCTCAACATAAAAATAATAATGATTACAAATAAAAATGCAAAAGAAAATACACTTTGCAATATTGGCTAGTTTGACATCAAATTAAACTAAAGTGATGAAAGCAAAACCTTTAAACTCACCATGATGTTGTACTGCCCTCTGTAAGTGATTTTTTATGTGATAAAGCATTATTTGTGGCATACTAGTGTATGAGCAGAATGGGCACTTGTCACTGCAGTTTTTTAAATACTGCTCGCATTCGTCCTTGCATAGCACGGTTTTATGCATATTTGCAAGGGGAAATGGCTCTTAAAAGAGCCGTTGGGTTATGAAGTAAGGATAAAAGAAAATACAAATAAAAAGTTGTAAACAAATGTAAAAAATAATTAACAGCAAAATAAATAAATAAATCAAAACAAAAAGAAAGAAAGTACTGAAGTAAAAAATGTACTCCACAAGAATTGTAAGGACGAATATATCAATGACAGGGATCTGCAAACAGAAGGTAGCACAGATCAATAGGTTAGGAATCAAACAATTTATATTGCACATATTTAGCAGTAACATTATCAGAGTAACATATGTAAATTAGAGAACAATCCATTGAATGGATTTAATTCATAGAAGGAATCCCAAACAAATTTATATTTTGTTCATATCTTTGATATCAATAAACTTCATATGTGATGGACTGCATTTACCAAACTGAGGTAAAGCTGATTTTATATTCGCACATTTGTTCAGCTACAACTGATGACACAGTCCTTATATTGTTTGCCAAGCTGTTTTGAATATTCTGTATGAAATGACAAGTTAGTCTTCTTCTTTTTCTTTGGCCCGTATGATTGCGGGGTCGGCTGAAATGACAAGTTAGTATAACTTGAAAACAACATTAGCACTGTTTAATTGACCGTGAACAATGGTGTAGGCTACTTTGATAGCCGGTGGCTGTTAATAAGACTTCCCGATTTAGAATTTGTAAATAATATTTTTCTGAAATTCAGTTATATCATTAAAGAGGACGTCCGAATATGCAAACATAAAACCAACTTTACCTCAATACTATCTACCTGGAAAACGCCAACTAACACAGCAACCATTTGTTTTTTACAAGGCTTTAAAACTTAACATCACATGTATAAAGGATTTAAATTAAATAATTACACATAATACGTAGCTTGTAATGTGTACTAACATAAGACGTGTACTCACCATGTGATGAAAACCGGAAATGAAAGCATACGTTACGTCAACTGAATAGGCAGAGCGGCATGTTCAGCCCCGCCCATTATTTCTTATGCATTTCTTATGCATTCTCGATTGCATAATTTCTGGTAGTGGGGGACTGCGTTCGCGCTCGTCGTTACTGACGGAACGAATGCAGACCGTGTGAAAGGTCATCATTTTATCTGCCGTTAAGTAAGCGAACGCTTCTGCTCGGATCAGAGGTAACTTTGTTTCAAGAACTGCAATCTTTTGCAGACGTCTGTGGCGTTTTGGGCAGAGGGACGGTTCTAAACCAATCTGAACCAGAGGCAATTTCGCAGCCAGCCGTCGGTGGTTTCCCTTCTCAGGAATGTAAGGTGCTTGCAGCGGGAGGTTGTTTCGTTAGCGCTTCCGCTTTTGTTAGTGAAGTTCTTTGTGTGCTGATAGGCTGACGTAAGAAAACAGGACACAAAATATACAAGGCAAGAGTGCAAAGCACGGAGCTCTAGGCAAAGGCGGTCCGAACCGCAGCAAAGCAGGAGAAAATCAAGAAAAATCTAGAAAATTCTCGAAAAATGAAAAAATCTTGAAAAAAGAAAAAATCTCGAAAAATCAAGAAAATTCTCGAAAAAGAAAAAATCTTGAAAAATGAAAAAATCTTGAAAAATCTCGAAAAATGAAAAAATCTTGAAAAATCTCGAAAAATCTCGAAAAATGAAAAAATCTTGAAAAATCTTGAAAAATCTTGAAAAATCTTGAAAAATCTCGAAAAATGAAAAAATCTTGAAAAATCTCGAAAAATCTTGAAAAATGAAAAAATCTTGAAAAATCTCGAAAAAATGAATGAAATCTTGAAAAATGAAAAAAATCTTGAAAAATCTCGAAAAATCTTGAAAAATGAAAAAATCTTGAAAAATCTCGAAAAATCTTGAAAAATGAAAAAATCTTGAAAAATCTCGAAAATGAAAAAATCTTGAAAAATCAAGAAAAATCTAGAAAATTCTCGAAAATCAAGAAAAATCTTGAAAAATCTCGAAAAATGAAAAAATCTTGAAAAAAAAGTGATGATATTACAGACCACTACCTCTTACTATATAAGCTGTGTTTACCTGAAATCAGCAAACCCGCTCCAATACTCCGCCCTAGTAGAACTATTGTTCCGTCAACTAAAGATGAATTTATAAATAACTTACCTGATCTCTCTCTATTTCGTAATGCACCCGCAAACTCAAATGATCTTGATGTAGTAACCAGCAGTATGGATGCCATCTTTACTAGCACACTAAATACTGTGGCACCTATCAAATTAAAAAAAGGCTAGAGAGACTAAAACTATACCATGGTATAATAGTCATACTCGTGCGCTCAAAACAGCAACCCGCACCCTGGAACGTAAATGGAAAAAAACTAATTTAGAGGTCTTTAGAATTGCGTACAAAAACAGTATGTCCAGCTATAGGAGGGCTCTAAAATCTGCCAGGACCGAGCACCTGCGCAAACTGATAGAAAATAATCATAACAATCCTAGATTTTTATTTAACACCATCTCTAAATTAGCAAATAATCGGTCATCCTTGGAACAAACTACTCCACCGCAAATTAGTAGTGATGACTTCATGAATTTTTTTCAGTAACAAAATAGAAGGCTTTAGACAGAAAATAGGAGATGCCAAACTTTCTGCACCGGCTTATACTCCAAATCCTGTAAATATTTCATTGAATCATAATAATAACCTACACTGCTTCAAAATCATAGAACATGAAGAGTTAGTAAAAATTATAAATAGCTCTAAACCAGCTAGGTGTATGCTGGACTCAATTCCAACAAAATTACTGAAAGAGCTGCTACCTGCTATAGGAGAACCTCTTCTTAACATTATTAACTCTTCTTTATCTATAGGCCATGTTCCAAACTCTTACAAGCTAGCTGTTATTAAGCCTATTATTAAGAAACCGCAACTAGACACCAACAACTTAGCTAACTATAGGCCTATTTCAAATCTTCCATTTATGTCTAAAATACTAGAAAAAGTTGTTTCCACTCAATTATGCTCTTTTCTGCAGACGAACAATATTTTATATAAGTGTTTCAGTCAGGTTTCAGGGCTCACCACAGTACAGAAACCGCCTTGGTGAAAATAACCAATGATTTACTCTTAGCTGCTGACCGAGGGTGCATCTCGCTATTAGTTTTACTCGATCTTAGTGCGGCATTTGATACCATTGACCACAATATCCTAATAAATCGCTTAAAGTCTACAGGTGTCCAGGGACAGGCTCTACAATGGTTTAAGTCATACTTAACTGACCGTTACCAGTTTGTGAATATTAATGGACAGCCTTCACAAATCTGCCCAGTAAAGTATGGGGTGCCTCAAGGATCAGTTTTAGGCCCTTTACTGTTTACAATTTAGATGCTACCTCTGGGAGACATTATTAGAAGGCATGGGATCAGCTTTCACTGCTATGCAGAGGATACTCAATTATATATTTCAACTAAACCTGACGAGACGTCTGAACTTTCTAAACTGAGTGTATCAAAGACATCAAAGACTGGATGACCAACAATTTTCTTCTCTTAAACTCCGACAAAACAGAATTATTACTTATTGGGCCTAAATCTTGCACACAGCAGATCTCGCAACTCAATTTACAATTAGAGGGATACAAAGTTAGCTTTAGCTCTACTATAAAAGATTTGGGTGTCATATTAGACAGCAATCTAACTTTTAAAAACCATATATCCCATGTCACAAAAACTGCCTTCTTTCATCTGAGAAATATCGCTAAATTACGAAATATGCTATCCATCTCAGATGCAGAAAAGCTAGTCCATGCTTTTATGACTTCAAGGCTGGATTACTGTAATGCTCTATTTGCTGGCTGCCCAGCATCCTCTATTAACAAACTTCAATTAGTACAAAATGCAGCAGCCAGAGTTCTGACCAGGTCTAGAAAATATGATCATATAACCCCAATTTTATCCTCCTTACACTGGCTGCCTGTTAAGTTTCGTATTGAATTTAAAATATTACTTCTAACCTATAAAGCTCTAAATAATCTAGCTCCTGTTTATCTAACCAACCTTCTGTCTCGCTACGAACCAACTCGCTCTTTAAGATCTCAAAACTCAGGGCTTCTGGTAGTACCTAGAATAGCAAAATCAAGTAAAGGAGGTCGAGCCTTCTCTTTCATGGCTCCTACACTCTGGAATAGCCTTTCTGATAATGTCCGAGGCTCAGACACACTCTCCCAGTTCAAAACTAGATTAAAGACCTATCTGTTTAGTAAAGCATACACTCAATGCATCACCTAGCGGGTTCCACACAGGCTTCTGCATCTTGCTTATATACACTATGAACAGCAGCTACGCTAATTATTCTCTTTATTCTCTATTTTCACCTGGGGATACTCATCCCGAGGTCCTCAGATTAGGCGGAGTCACTGATTGGATCCAAGACCAGCGACGTGATGATCCCAAGGATTCCATATCCGGGACCAGGCCATATCCTGAGCTGCTGCTGCGCTGATGGTCGTGGGGAGTGGAGAACATGTGTCTGATTCCAGCGACGCTCCAGGGACAGACGAGTCTTCATTGAGGTCATCTTCCAGCATAAACCACGGCGAATGAAGTTCTGCACAAGACTTTTGGCCAGCGGAGAAATTAAAATGGTCGTGCCCAACTGAGTCTGGTTCTCTCAAGGTTTTTTTTCTTCACTCCCATCAGGTGAAGTTTTTTTTCCCTCTCCGCTGTCGCCACTGCCTCGCATGGTTCAGGATTGGTAGAGCTACGCATCGATGAATTTGCTCTTCAGTGTTTGAACTCTCAGTAATGATTAAATCACACTGAACGGAGCTAAACTGAACTGAACTGAACTTAAACACTAAAACCTGAACCACACTGTTCCAGTTACTATGACCATTTATGTGAAGCTGCTTTGACACAATCTACATTGTAAAAGCGCTATACAAATAAAGCTGAATTGAATTGAATTCTAGCTGAAATAAAACAAATAAGCCTTTCTCCAGAAGAAAAAATATTATAGGTAATACTGTAAAAAAACCTATTAAACAACATTTGGGAAATATTTATATATAACAATAAATTCACAGAAGAGCGAATAATTTTGACTTCAACTGATAATCGTTTTGAATAATCGTGATTACAATTATG